CCAGCAGGGCAGACATTAAGTCCCGCAGTTCCATGTGGGACGTCCGAAGCAATCTGTGCCATATTGTGAACTCCATGTGGCTCCGCCCCTGTGGCACTCGTGGTAGCTCCCACGGCTTCTCTCTTAGGCTGGCTTTGCTCCCTCCTTGCAGTTTCCCTTGGATGGTCCACATTCCTGGCTTTTCCCAGTTTCTGGGGTTTCCTTGGAGTAGGCTTCTCACTCAGAGCTTCACACTCTGCCCTCTTGGGCACACCGCCTGGCCTTCTGAAATCGAGGCGGAAGCCGTCTTAACCTCAGAACTCCTGCATTCTGCATGTGCCTAAAACCAAAGCCCCGTGGATGACGCCCAGGTGTGCTGCCAGCTGGAGCAGTAGCCAGGTTTCTTGTCTCTTGGTTGTAGGGGTCGAGTGCCTGGATTGCCGAGCACTCTGACCCTGATTCCAAGGAATAAATTCTCCAAGCCGCCACCATTCTGGAACGTGGTATGCCGCTGCCGCCATGCTGGAGCCATTCTGGAATGTGGGGCTCGGCGGCTTTCCCCTCAAGGCAGAGTCCCTGACCTTTGCAGCTCTGAGGCAGCAAAGGGTGGAGACCTGCCGCCTCCTGTGACGCCCTCAGGCCGTCCCTTCCAGTCCCTTGTTCCTTCCCGGCAGTGGAGATCCTCTCAGCTCTGTCTTCACAGTCCACAGCTTTCTTGGTGCTTCCTTTCTGGCCAAACTCACAACATTTGAACCATCCCGCTGGGCTTCTTGGTCGTCATTTGCAACATGAATCTGGTTAACAGCCTCCAATCTGGTTAGCAGCCCCAATATTTGGCTGCTTTGAACTATCTTTTGCCTGATTAATCAGTCTGCCATGCTTAAACTCACTCTCAGCCAAAATCTCTGGACAGGAGCAAAATGCAGACAACTTTTCTGCCAAGTCAAGACACAAATGATCCGGAGTCCGCCAATGCTGTCCTTCTTCCCAGCAGAGACCTCCCCAGCCTGGTCTTTACAGGCCGGCTTCCCATCAGCCTTCTGGTCTTCTGAGCTCTGACCAGAATCTCCCCTACAGAACAGCCGAAGCTGTTCCAGCTCTTCACAAGTAGGCAACGTCTCCAAACCTTTCCTCTCTCTTCCCATCAGCCATTCCCAAAAGCTTGTAATCCACAAAGTCAGGTTTAGCCACAGCAACGACCCCGCTCCTCCCGTACCAAATTCTGTCTTAGCTACTCTTCTCTCATTGCTGGGACAAATACCCAACACCCAGAATGGAGGAAAGAAAGGTTTATTTAGCTCAGCTACTGGAGGTTTCAGTCCATATTGAGCTGGGTCCAAGGCGGAGCAGCA